AGTCGTTATCCTCCCTCACTATTAATGCTTTCTGCCTCCTATTGCGTCACTTTGGTTGTTATGACTTTGAATTTACTACTTTAATGAGATATTTGTTCTCTGTGAGACATTTCATCGTCTTTTTCTGCCATTCCTGACTGAATGTAGACCACATTTATCTCCAGGAAGTTTCATTCATAAGGTGTTTAAGCAACAGTTTTCTCTCCCAGTCTTCTTCTTCATCACCATGTTTACATGGGAGGTTAAATGGAAACAAGGTTGGTTTTTCTGGAAATAAATTTAAATGTAATTGGCTTCAAGGCAGATATGGAACAATAGTTTGTAGTAGCTGGCTCTGGGGAAAGAATAAAGTGCAATTTTTATTTTAAAAAAATAATTCTAGATTTTCAAATCTAGATGTGTAGAGTCTGTGTAAGTTGGTACTTTACTGATATGTTAGATGTTCTTGAAAATATTTGCTTATTTCTTCTCTACAAGAAATTAGATGTTTACTGTGATTTGTAAATGTCTAATTATTCAAAGCTTTATGCAGAGTGGTCTAGTAAAAGCATTTTGATGGCTTACAAATAATAAAAACCCAAACTTTAACGATTAAATTTAAGATATTCTGAAGCCTGGCTTCTGAAATGTATGTCCATGTGCTGTGCATCATATTCACTCAACACTTTTGCATAAATTACAAAGTTTCCCCTAGAAACCCTGCTAAGCCCGGTGCTAGTTCAGTCATCCATCCAGCGGCCCGTCGTGTTTTTGAACTAAAAAATGTTTAAAGTTGACAGGAAATTAGAAAATATCACTTGATAATTATGTGTTATTGAAAGATTGGAAGATTAATACCTGAACACCAACTATAAAGTCTTAAAACATGCAAATATTTAAAAAAAAAACTTAAATAAATAAGCAATGCTAAGCCTGCTGGGGGCACAAGTAAAGCCTGGTGACCCGCCAGGCTTATGATGCACTGAAGGAAACCCTGAGTTACTGCCTTAAAAACCGTCAGTTTTAATTAAAACTTTAAGTCACGATGACACTGAAATGCATTGAGATGCAACTGCAGACATAAACTGAAATGTGAAAAACACCACGTTGGTGTTATTTTTTTGTTTTCACTTATCACCCAGAGCAGTCTCTTTGTTTTCAGTTACCAATCAATAAGACCTTCCATTCCTTGACATTTCAGGAAGTACACACGTTTAAGATCAAATTACCTTGCATCAGACTTCTTGGCTTTTGCACCGCAGTGCTGTAATCAGCCAAACCATATCTTTGGGAGGCACTAGTAGTAAACGGGTAAATTTCTGCTGGGTTCAAGCAGCTTTCATCATCCCTGCCCAGACGTCAGAAACGCCGGCCACCGTGCGGGTTAGAGCCGTGCGTTAGCTCCAAGAATCTATTTTTATGAACCATAAAAAGCTGTAAAATTTGGCTTTCTGTGCCAGTTATTGAACCCTACATGCTCACCCTGTCACACACCAAAACAACAACAAAAAACCCCAAAACAAGTCTTACAAAACACTAGAGCTCTGGAACGCAAGGAGACGATAAAGTAAGCTGCAACTTAGCTCAGGAAGGCATAAAACCGATGCAAATTACTCTCATTTGTTTGAGAACACTCTTGGAAAGCAAGTCGTTTATGAGGGATTAGCGTAATTATCGAAAGTGTTAAAACCTTTAAAACCAAAACCTTTTAGAGCTGAGTACTTCATGTATGTTTTTCCTAACTATCCAGAGTAGCAACCAGTTGATTTCTCTTTCCCTTCCAGCTGTTTGTGCAGCAGGGTGGCAAACTGTGTTTGGAATAACACTGGGTGTTAATTTGCAAAGTCTTTTCTTCTTCTTCTTCTTCTTCTTCTTGGAAATGCAGCCAAACAAACGGACACAGATCCCTGCTTTTCGCTCGTAATGGTTTGGTGTTTATATAACCACCAGTGTGGACTTGAGTTAAGTTTTTCTCTCTTTATTTCTTCACATCAGTCATTAACATCGCAGCCAAGGTTGCTCCCACAGCAACACATCATCAGTTTGTTACCAAGTAACTGGAACAAATTCCTGGAAAAGCATAAAATGCTCAACGAGATTAGCATGCCGTCAATCAAACGAGGTGCTTCATTCAGAAGTTATACATGAAGACAGCTCGGGTTTCCTGCTTTATAAATAATTCATCCACAAAACCTCCTCTCCTCTGTCTCATTCACGCCTCCATTATCTTATTTTTTTTCTCAATCCAGGAGAGAAAGATGCTTCTGTTTCTGAATGAAAGCTGCCCTCTGTCCAAGCAACATTGTCAGAACAAGGCAAACACAGAGCAGGAGTTAATGTACTTTGTCAGCGCTGGCAGGCTTCGGAGCCAAGAGCTATTAACTCTGAGAGAGAGAGAGGCATTTCCTCCTTGTAAATGCCATATTAAATTATTATTATTTCATTTGGTCGCAGGGAAAAGCCCATCTCTTCTCAGCCTTTTCCTTGTTACCAAAGGAGCTGGGAATTCTAAATGGAGGGTCTGAGTTTTTCCAACGACGAGCATCGTCTCGGAGGAAGACGGGGGGGATGGCGTCACCACGAAAAGAGAGTGACCTTCAAATAGCCTTATAAATTTTAACTGAAAACATTTTCATAACCTTTTTTGCTTAAGCATGCATCTGAACGGCTCTAAAGGGGGGGCTTTTTCCAAATGAATATGTGAATGAACAGAGAGGCCTCCATGTTTCTGCAGGTGGATCGGACTCAGAGGGCTGGAGAAAAAAAATGAACGGAGCCAAAAATGGCTGAATGGGACGTTCTCCAAGACGCTGCTGCCAAATCTGGTCCTCAGTGTGCAGTGTTCAATGCCGTAAATTTTACTTGTAGGAATTTAATGTCATTAGGTTGGTTCATATTTTAGGAAAATTAAACTTATTGCTATTATCATTGCTCAACTACAAGCATAAAGTTGGGAAACCTGCCAGAACAATGAAGGAGAAAAATCACAATCTGCTTTATAGACTGAAACTTTGCTAAGTCTGCTGGGAATGGACAATTATTATTATTATTATTATTATTGTTATTATTATAAGGTCATGGGAATTTTTGAAGAGATAAAACTTGGTAAATTTAGGAAAACTTTCCTGAAGAATGTGGCAACATTTCCATAAAGCGCATGTCAAACTTGAGGCCCGTGGGCCAAATCCGGCCCGGCGTAGCTTTTTATGTGGTCCTCTAGATTCTAGACTAAACACCAACTGTGCTTAAATATTATATTATTAATCAAATAAATGCCGTTTTTATCTGCTTACTGCCAAATTTTATCAATCAGTCCATCCAGTTTCTTCAGAATTACTGTGGAAATTCATGTAAAAATCAACAAATCCCTGCACTTTTTTGCGCTAACACATAACTGGGAGTTTATTGGAGATAAAAATTGTCAAAAACCTTCGTACTTGTACTAACCAGCTGCCTCAGCCTTAAACGATGTCAGATTATAGTCCATGATCTATACAGCGAGTAATAAAAAGTCGCATTTACCATCATAAATAAGCACAAATATTGCAAATATTTCCAAATTAGTGCCACAGGCACTTTGATTTTTAAGAATTCATTGATATTTACATACATACATTCTGGGACAACCGGCCCTTTAAGAGCATTCATGATCTCGATTTGGTCCAAAACGAAAATGAGTTTGACTCCCTTGGATTGAAGGGAAGAAAAGAAGCTCTCGTTTTAAAATGTTACACTTTCTCCTTTTTTACTGTAATCCATGAGTAAAATGATCCTGAACATAAAAAAATAACGTCAGTAGGTTTTCAGTATTGTCACTCATGCACAAAGCAGCAAACCAAGAAGGAGGCAGGAAGTAGTTGTAGGTGAACAAACATTCAGGTGTGATTTTAATTAAGTTTTTCTACAGAAAAACTTAATTAGTTTTTCTATAGAAACACAGCCGTTGCAAAATTAAATTTTTTTGACGTTAGCGGAAAATCAACAAAGTTTGTAATGGAAGCGCAGCTGCTGCTGCTGACCTCCACCTTTTTCAGTAAAACTACCAAAAAGTCCCTCCAGACTTGCTTAAAATTTCACCTACAGCATCTCAAATCTTTCCTATTAAAAGTTAACAAATATATGCTTTCTGTAGATTGTTGAGGTAGTTGATTTGTGTCTTGAAATTAAAATTATGTGGGGGGGAAAAAACATTTTAATACCATAAAACCAGGGATTTCCAAACTGTCACATGGGGCCAGATCATCAAGTCAAAAGTACCAGCAGACCAAAAACTATAACTTTTTGAAGAGCAAGCTCTACAGAACGTATAATACCTGCTCAACAATTAACTACGCATGCAATATTTTAATATGTGTAGATCAATGTCAAGCCAGTGTCAAGTTAGCAAATTCTTTGGGACTCATTTGAAAAATAATGTACATAACCTGAACTTATTCTCAACAAAACAACAGGATTTGGGTCACTCCTTCTCTGAAAACACTTAATAAATTAATTAGATGCAATTTTGGGTGCTTTACAATTTGCTTTAAAGTTAAAGTAACTAAATAAAGGGTTGGATATTATATGAAAATAAAGAAAACACAAAGTCTGGTTATTGAATGGTTATTATTCTTTTTTGCTATTATAATTTTGTCCTAGTAAACTAATCAATCAGCCCCTTCAGACTAGCCATCTGCAATTAGCAAATACCTGGTGGAACTGTGCATCTGCTTAAACCAGCTACTTAGTGCAACGATGGAAAAAGTGTTCATCAATTACAAGTGATGTGATGAGCTTTTAAAGAGACAGAGGCCCAATTTTAAGGCGTTGAATTATGAAGTCATATCTCATATCTGTAGTTTTTGTAACAGCTGAAGGTAACTTGACTCTGCTATAAAATGGCACTCTGTGCTTAGAAAACCAAACAATACTGCAGCTTTATAAAGAGTTTGGTGAAATTTTGCCTGAATGTAAAACAACCCTAGATGACAGGATTTGGTTTAAATCACCATTGGTTACAAGTTTCTCTGTTCGCCGAACAGATAAACCAACAGGCTATGGGCCCAGCGCAAGGCGGTCGCATGGCATCGTGGACGAGTGCTGCTTCCAGAGCTGTGAGCTGCGGCGCCTGGAGATGTACTGCGCACCCGCCAGGACTACCAAGACATCTCGTTCTCCTCGTGCACAGCGCCACACAGATGTGCCAAGGACACCCAAGGTCAGCAACCCGGGACATCGAGCGGACAAGGGCACAGATCGCAGGACAGCGCAGCAGCCAGACAAGACAAAAAACAAGAAGGTGAGCAAACTCTACACGACTGACTCAGACCAATGAATAAACACAATAAATCCTGAAAATAATAAGTAATATCTAAATAAATCCAACTTATCTGGCTTTGTTTTCCTCCCACAGAGACCTTCATCTGGACATAGTCATCCATCCTTCAAGGTATGGACAATCTTATCACATCTAAAGCCAAGTTAATGCCATAAAACCATGTATTTATGGATTGATTTGAGCAATAACTAAATACCGTTTTCATATTATAGTACCTGCAAGCAAAATAACAAGCAAATATTTATATAATATGGTCCTAATATGAGATTTAAATTTCCAATATGGCTGCTTTAGGAAAATATTTGGTCACCCCTGACCTATACAAACAGGCGTGATAGCTACAGTAGCGTTTGATTATTTATTTATTTTTTAAACTAAGCTCAATTTAAGGAAAAATTAAGCTTCTGTAAGATTTTAGAGTCTAAGATTTGGTTTTTATATAGTCAAAAATATATAATTTGATGCCAGAATCTTCTATATTGGGCAAAATATAGTGATTCTCCAGCCAATATGGCGGCCATCTTGAAAATGGGCTAGCACCTTGAACAGATGGGGCTTGTATTTGGCCAAACTTGGTGGATGTGTCATAATTTGGTTTATCCTTACCAAAGGATAAACCAGTTCATCCTCTGGTAAAAGCTGACGTTTTAATGTTGCTAATGTTAGCATTATGCAACACTAATTTGGAAAATTAAGTGCACCCTACATTTGAATAATACCTCCTCACCACATCAGTTCGTTCTGCTTTTCATTTTTTGCACTCCTGATGGTCCACCTCTAAATGTCAATCAGGATAAGATCTGGACTTTGACTAGGCAGCTGCTTCTCCTGTGTTGGTATATTGTAGATGTTATGGCTGTCAGTATGTCGCTGCTCTGTTATTGACCCCAGTTTAGGCCAACCATTGGACAGATGGCCGCACAGTTGATGCTGCCATACTGTGGTTTACAGAGGCGTTAATGGCTGACTCATTGGCTGTACGGTGTCCAGGTCCTGTGGCTCCGACGCAAGACCCCATCATAACCCACCACTGTGCTACGCCTCCACTACAGTTGGTGTGAGGTCGTTTGGGTTTGGTTTTCTCCAAACATGGTGCACTGAGTTATGGCCAAATCTGTGTTTTGGCGTTTAGGTGATATGTGGCACAATGATTACAAACAGTTTTAATGTTTAGTTTAATCATCAACCGAACACACTTACATGTAGGTCAGTGGGTCCATGAAGACACCACAAGCTGCATTTCCATTGACCATATAATTACAAAATTTTACATTTTGAAAATAAATTTGCTTACTGAAAACTCTTGTTTGATAAAAAGATTTGTCAGTGGGATGAGGTGGGTTTTTTTTTTTTTACCATACTGAAATTGATTTATTTCACAAAACTGTAATGGAAACACTTTTTTAGCATAGCGATCAACAACCGCACCACAAAGAAGACAGGAAGTAGTTGGAAGATAATAGCGTGGCATATTTTTTAAATTACCTGTTGTGTGAATAAACTTATTTGTATGATTGTAATTGTGTTTCTTATTTAACAGAAACACCGGAATTGCGAAATTGTGTTCTGTCAGCTCCAGCAGAATGTAGCCAAAGTTTTGCACACATTTGTAATGGAAACGCCGCCTGTGTCATCATGACAATTAAGTGGCTATAGAGCTAAGTAAGGATTCATTCACACCAACCCTGCTTAGTCTGATTTAATCAAATTCTAGTTAGTCTAAAACGTTTGGTTTATTTGGGGAGGTGTAAACGCAATCAAACTCCAACGCAGACCAAAAAACCAAACACTGGTCCGCCTAAAATCTTTGGTCTTTGTTCGTTTGGTGCGATTTGAATACATATATAGATGCCAAGTGAACAGGTGAGGAGGGGAACAGGTTTTTCATAGAGTTTGGTTGGTTTGACACAAACCACACCAGCTGAAAATGTAACAAATATTTCAATTTTGGTCCCCAATATGAAAACACCCTTAGATTTTGATGGGTCTCATTGGTTGTTCTCAGTTTGACTCTTGTTTTTCCTTATTGTTTGGGAGTGGTATAAAAATATCTAATGCTACTGGTTCAAATGCCTCTGAAAGATCCTCCAGTTTCCAACTTAACAGCTCCTAAAATCCCATAGCGTTGTAACAACTGACCCAACTTTCATTGGTAGTGACTTCCAAGATGTGTTTGTTTTTGTGTTGCAGGAAGTTCATCCGAAAAACTCAAGTCGAGGCAGCTCCGGGGGCAGAACTTACCGAATGTAGGGAAGCATCGAATGGACAACACCGCAGGAAGAGAGAAGGGAGTGGCCTTACCCGGTACCCCTGTGGAATGGTTCACTGTATAACGAAACGAAACGAAGCTAAAAATGGCCTAAAAGCTTTAAAACATTAGAAAAGTTGAGCTAAAAGGTTGGATGAGGGTACTAGTGGTCATCTTAAACACTGCACCATTCCATATCGGGAGGAAATCTTTGTTAACTCAATCTAACAGACTAGTTTAGCTGCTAAGACACAATAAGAGCTTGCTATACCTCCATGTTTAAACAGCAACAACCACCTTCCTCGGCTCCAGAGAAGGTGGGAACGTCACCAAACAGGAATAGTTGGACACATCCTTTTCACTCTTCTGATTACTTCTTTGTCACAGCCACATATAGCAGTTACTATCCCTGTTCAAATTCAATTTTATCTTTAGCATTTGTTTTTATGCACTATGCATTACTGTGGATATGTTATCTGAAAGACCAACACCATGTTGTTTATTGTCAGACTTTTAAACGTTGCTGTTGTTAATTTGCTTTCCAAGCCCCACTTAGACCACAATTTGTAGGTTTTAGTTTTTTTTTTTAATTCAGCTTTTCAATCAACCCAAGATTTCTGACTTCTCAGCTTATCATCATGGTTGTTTAATAAACAGAAATGGGTCAGTCAGTGGATTCAAAGTTCAGCTGGCGCAAATGAGAGCGCTAATCAAATAGTGACAATCAGCCATTATGTTTGTTTTCTGTGTGCTTTTCACAGATCACCAGTTTTCCCAGATCTGATTGCGAAAACTCCAGCTACCTGGAGACAAACATTTTGTACAAATCATGAATGGTCAGTTTTTTGAAAGTAACTGAGCCAAGAACAAAGATTAAAGCAAAAAACTGAAATATTGGAACTATATTGGAAAATCAACCGTACCGCTATTTTTAAAAATAATCATTTTTATTGTTTTTTTTTTAATATTATAAATCACCACAAAGTTTTTAAGTAGGAGAATCCTGCAGGTCTGTCAGGATGTGTCCCTACCTGCTTTGCATGTCTTCAGACTGTCAGTTACATCAATTTTAAAATTTTGCCATTATTATGATTTTTTTATTTTGAACTTTGACTAGACCATTCCAATACCTGAATACACCATTCCAAAGTAGCTCCTCCTCTACTAGTTTACCTGTAAATAGGCCTGTCACAATAACAAATTTTTCTGTTCGATAAATTGCCCACAAAAGTTATTGTGGGCGATAAACGATAATATTGTTGCTTTGAGACCATTTTCAACTAACATGAGAACTCATTTTCAAAAATCAATAAAGAAAAAAACAGAAATAACAAATAAAGTGAGTAATAAAGTCTCTATTAACAAAACTGTCCTTCAAAAAAAAAGAGCTAGTTGAGACCAAAGTGAAGATTTTTGTCATCCAGTTATTGGTGAATAAAGAGTAAAACTATCAATTATTCAGCTGGAAATGATTGAGTTTGTTTAAAATTATCATAGGAATAATTGATTAATTGATCTATTGCTTACTCCAACAGGCCTAGCTACATCCTGATTGGTTCCCTGATCCTGCAAAATAAAAGCATGTACACAAGAAAAAGAACAAAAATCCCAAATTTCATCTCATCTGACTCACTTACTTTCTTCTACATGTTTGCTTCATTCCTTGTGTGGCTGTCGGCAAACTTAAACAGGACTTCTTTCAGAAATCAGTTTCTCTGTGCAACTTTTCCATAAAGCAAATATTTGTAAAGAGCACGACTAGCAGTGACCTCTGCATCTCCTCCAGAGGCATTTCAAGAACTGAATACATGTGCACGCCACAACTTTCAAGTTTTTGTTTGGAAACATTTAGAAAAAACACCATTTTTCCCATTCCTCAATTCTACTAGTTAAAATCCCGTAAAGTTTGTGGCTACTACATGATAAAATGTCGAGATTTAGTAAAGTTCAGTCTAATTATCACTCTTTGATCTCTTATTTAACATAGGACAAAAAATTCCTAATGCTAGTTTAGGCTTGGACTGTATAATTTGATGCAATGACAACCAAACAGCACAGTATCCGTTTCAAAGTCCACTGGGAAGTCATGCAAAATAAACTGGTAAACATTACAAACCAGCGTCTGACGGGGGAGATGCAGAATTGGAACAGTACACAATTACACTTATAAATAATCCAAATATGAGTAAGGGTCAAGATCACCTTCACAAATTTCACAAACAAGCCAGTTCTGAGAAGACACTGCATGATAATTGACAGGAAACTGTTGTTTTGTTTGTTTTTTGTTTTTGTCTGAGCCTCCCTGAAAACGCCCCAAAGATGGCTCATATCTGGCTCTGTCTCCTCTCTCTGTGTATAATCAAACTGTACTCCCATTATGTTAACCTATGCATTACTATCACTCATTGTACATGATGGTTTCATATAGCAAAACTGTATTAAAAATCCTATCCACTGTATAATGGTGCTATTTTATAGTTTGGTACTTGCAAAGAGATGGCTAAGACAGACGAATGGCAGGGCTTACATTGGAGGTCTTCCCTTTTGCACAGCCTTGTGGCCACCATGTTAATAGTGATTTTATTTGTAAGCAGTTTCAGTAGTGGAAGCAAGTAAATGCATCTGTGTGATCTCTGTGAATGCATGAAGAGTAAAACGAGAAAAAAGGAAAAAGGAAAAAAAAGGAAAATGAGTATACAATGTTGTGGCCCCAAGAAGGCAAAATGCTATTTTTTCTACTATTCTTAAATTATTTTCTCAACATAAATCCCTTTTGCCAAATGTCTTGAGAAAAATACTGTGATTCTTCCAGTTGTGTTTAAGCTTGTTAAAGGTCATGGTGTGCTTTTGTCTGTCCAGTGTGTGTGCGTGTGTGCATGCCTCCCTGGAAGCCAAAGTATCAAATATTAGGGGAACTCAAAGTGGGATTATGCAACTTTTGCTTGACATTGTCTATTGTTGGTAGAAAGTAACTGCATTTTGCTCATTATTATAACGTTGCCTGTAATACTTTACTTTTTTTATATTTTGCATGATCATATTTAAGGCAAACTTCTTAAAAAAATATTTTCATTACCAAAATTACTTCAATTCAGTATGATTTCGCTGTCCTGAAAATCCATATTTTGAGATTATACATTTTATTTTGTATTAAAAGCCAGTACTTCTACCTGTGAATGGATTGGCACCTAAACATACTCTGACTGCAAGAAAACCTAGAACTGGTTGCTCAGTAACAAAGATAACTAATATTAGCTTTAAAAAAAACTCAAAATATGTTAAACTTAGGCTACCTTCACACTGCAGCCTAAAGTGACCACATTCCGATTTTATTTATTTATTTTTTTTTTGTCAAATCGTATTTTTTCGGCGTGGTTGTTCACTCTTCCAAATATATGCGACTTGTATTCTTTAGCGTGAACTGTAAACGACCCGAAAGTGTCCCGCATGCGCAGTAGAGGGCGCAATAACGTCACAAATGGAGAGCGTGCGAAATGTTCTGCCAACCGCCATAAAGAAGAAATGCTGAGTGTTTGCGGAAGTAAACATGGATGCTAGCGGTGGAGCTTAGCTTACAATTTTTAAAGTTGTTATCTGACCGGAGCCAGCACATTAACAACTTCTTCCGCCATGTTTTTCTTCCCGCTTGGACGTATCAAGACGCAGAATAGTGACCTTTGTCGAGTATCGATGACGTTCAGGTAGGCCGTTCAGATTCTGATCACATTTGAAAAGATCGGATGTATGTCGGATATCCAAGTGGTTCATGAAACGATCAGATACAGGTCACGTTAAGACAAAAAAATTATGGATTTGGGTCACTTCTGGCAGCAGACAGACTTTTATTAGTGGCAGCCATATCAGATAAAATTCCACCGAACCAATCAAATAATTCAGCACTGATTATGGGGTTAGGCAAAAAGTTGAGAAATAAATTTGTTGTAGGGTTTTTCTTTCGCTAAACATAACACGGGATCAGTAGAAGATTTATATTTCAGCTATTGGCTCATGTTAGCCGAAAACATATTGGGAAAACGGCTAACGTAGCGTCGTTTTCTCAAAGCAGACCCAAATTTTTAGAAAATCAACCATCAATTCCCATGGACATTGATCTAAAGGGAACTGAAAATGTCGGGAACATTTGTTTAGTTATATTTTTTTCGTCAACTTTAGAACCAATACACTTTCATATCCGTTAGCGTTAGCTAAATGCAGTCAAAAGCATGCTAGAAAGTCTCAGTGTAGTTTTATTTGTTCTTGGAAGCCTCAAAGATCCTAAGTTAATAAAAAAAGCTGCAAACATCCTAAATAAATTGATGTACCTAACATCTTCATGATATTTTGTTAACCAAACAGCTATTTCCTTCTTTGGCGTCTATGCTATGCTAACTGAGCTAAGCTATGTAAGCTAACCAGCCACTGCAGCTTCTTCTATAAACAGTCAAGCACATTCATGAAACTACGTTAGACTTCTTGTTAACTTTAACATTTATTTTTGGAAAATAAAACATTAAACTTTAACATTTATTAGTAGATACATGGTTAATTAATGTTATTTTTTACATAAATTGTAACAACTGTAGCAAATGTATTTGCAAATGAAGGGATTAAATTGCTAAAATAGCTCAACAGTGGAGCCTTGGTACTAGCAAATGGCGCAAATCATTTAGACATTTCCACAGAAAAATTCCTCTTTGAATACTTAACCACAAATAGGCACTGTAATTTAGGCAATTAGGCTGCTTGTATAATTTTGGTTAAACATTATGATTCCCTGTACTTTCCAAATTTAAAAAAACTTGTATTTTAACACCAGCTCAAATTGCTAGTTAAGATTTTTACGCATGCACACATCAACATTTGCATTTTTATTGCCATTTAACAAAAGTTGCATGGTCCCACTTTCAAAGTCACATAAGGTTTTAAATAATTTATTGAGAAAAAAATTGACTTAATTTTAGAAGTTCAGTAGCAGATCGCACCTCAAACACCAAATTTCTAAAAACTCATAATAAAACGATTGCTTGCATCCCCTTCATGGCATAGTCGTTGCTCTTGAACTTCAATAAATAACATTAAAGTGTGCGAATCTTTTGCAACAGTTTTTAATGTTCTTTTTAAAGTATACATTTTTGCCCAGGTGAGTAGGGTGAAGTAAAAGCTAGATGGAGAAAATATGTTCTTCCTTTAGATATACAGTACATACCAAAGACTTTTTAAATAAATTATAACTCATGAAAATATAACTATAGCATGATTCCATTGTTATCTCGACTCCACTGCAGTTTAATGCTTAAGTATCTGAAATATGGCTAGTGTTGTAAAAAGTGAAAGTGAACCAGACAGAAATCCCTTTGTGTGTATGGCATATTTTAAGGAGCAAACCACAGAAACGACTTCAAATCATCTGCTTATGAATCACTCGAACATTTCAATCTGTCAGTTGTGTGAAACAATCAAAAAGCATGGGAGGACGTGTGTGAGTCATTCATGACTCCCTGAAGTGTTTAATGAGTAAATGTATTTTCCTGAAGCTCACTGTCCAAGAAACTGTTTAATTACAGCCCTGTTATTTATGGTGCTTGATTGCCTTCTGTAGGAAAAAATACTGACAAACTGTTCACCATTCCTGCTGAATAAACCACTTGTCAACATCACAGAAATGTCTGAAGGTTGCTTTTATTCAACACTCACACACTACACCTTTAAAAAAGGCATTCAGCCCTTAGTCTTTATCACACAGGGCCGGTCCAAGCCCTTTTGGAGCCCTATGCAGATTTTCATTTGGGGTCCCCGATACCAGTTGCTTTGTCATTCCAATGTGTGTAACATGCTACTGTTAGTGTTTTTGTAAATGCAGAGTTGTTGTTTTAACTATTTGAAAGTAAAATCAGACGATAAACATTGGTTATTCCACCAAATATTGACTTAAAATATTAGTATTGTTTCTAAATAAATATGAACTTGTTTTCTTTGCATTATTTGAGGTCTGAAAGCACTGCATCTTTTTCATTATTTTGACCATTTCTCATTTTCTGCAAATACTAAATTTTTCCTTGGAATGCTAGCTTGGTGCTTTTTGGAAACTGTCGTATTGCAGCAGCTGTTTAACTTGCATATGCCTCAGGCCGACCCTGACCTCAACCTATTTAATCAGGATTTTTATGTGATCTCCAGCATAAAGTAGAACGTAATTTTCAAGCTGGAAGGAAAATCTTCATGTTTTTCCATTTATTTAGAGGTTAAAATCGTAAAATTTGGAGTGCATAAGTATTTTGTTTATGTGGATGACCAGATGATGATTTCATGATGCTTTTAATGTTCTACTAAAAAACACTCGGAATAGTTTTATTTATACTGACAAGAGGTGTTAATGGTTTTGAGGCACATCAGACCCACAGACAGTTGGTGGAAAGCTAATACTGCGAAGACATTATTTTCCCCCTTACATAACGTCGCAGCTTTTACGAGGAACTCTGTTGAGTCAGACACACAAACAGCAGATAATTACATAGTTGATGTTTGTCCCTCTTTAAATCCTTTAAGATATTTTGGCTGCAGATAAAGCCAAAAGTCAAGCTGTGTGCACTCTGAAGCTGACCGCTCTGGTCGTACCGAAAGACAACGTGATACTTCCTCGGAGGCGGAGGGGTCCGCCAACCCAAACACAACGGGGTGTGGTTCTCCTTGAGGCCAGAGCTGCATGTTCAGCTCTTTGGAGGATGCTCGCAGTGACAGGGCCGCTCTCCAGCCCGCTCGCCGTCAGCACTTTCACAAACGGATGCATGTATGGAGCAGGGATGGGGACCTTGATGAATTGGCTCTCTGGCGGCCGCCCAGCAGGCGGCGGGGATCAAAACGAGGAGTGGAGTGGGAGGTCGGCTCGCTCCAGGTCTTCCTGGATGTTATTACATCCCTCCTCGAGACTAATACAGAATCGATTATCCCACCACAACGGTCCGGTTAAAGGATGTAGAGCTGGGTTATAGTACTTCTGGGTTTTTCATTATATTTCCTTGTGACGTTTTGTTTAATTCAGTTCATTTTAATCACTATCGAGCTGCAGTATGTAACTTTTATTAAAAAAAAAAAAAACTGGTATGAGAGATAATCTTTGAGAAAATTGAGCTCCTCTGCTTTCTAGAAACAACCAATCAGAGCCAGGAGGCGGGTCTTAGCGCTGTCAATCATAACCTCTGTTCTGAATCCTAAAGCTAGTTAACATAGCCACCATTTCTCCGCCATTAACACATTTAAGCGCGTACATGAGTGTGATTGACAGCGCTAAGACCCGCCTCCTGGTTCTGATTGGTTGTTTTTAGTCGAGAGCGATGCATTTTTCACAGTATCTCAGGGAGGAGGTGGAGGAGATCGATCTTTTCACAGATTATCATAAACTGTCACAACATGGAGACAATTTTAGCAAAAATATAAAAAATACATAAACTAAAACTAACAAAACAATAAAACTGAAATTGAGAAAACATTTTCGCTAACTGAAATAAATAAAAACAGTAACGAATGGGGGGAAAAAACTATAACTAGCTAGAACTATCTTGTATGTTTATAAGACGCTAAAACGTACTGAAATCATAGATATAGCTTTCATTTTCATGTTAATTAATCTACTTATTAGCCTTTTCAAACTGATGTCAGTGATTTCACTGGTCCGCAAAATGGCGACTGTATTGTTGGTTGGTCAACAATAATTGAATCAATTTTTTGTTGAATTCTGCACCTAAAAGTTGACAGAAGTGTGAAAAAACTGAAATTACTAAAATAAACAGTAAAAACTAAACTAAAAGTAAATAATATTTAATTAATAACTAGCTTTGGGCTTTTCATTACAGTTTATGTCTAATTTAGTTATAATAGTTTTTAGAATGCATTTGATAGTTTTATAATTATTATTAGTTAAATATTATTAGTTATAGTAGTCATTTCAATTGCGTCATAATTTGGCAAATGTTTAGGTGCAGAATTCAAAAAGGTCAAAGTACTGTGGTAATGTAGACATTGATTATTTTCAAAAAATGTATTCAGTTATTGTTCAACTTCTTCTGCTGCCATTTTGTTCGAAAAGATTAACCAGATTTAAAACCACAAAAACAAAGGACGTTATGTCTATAATTTCAGTGTGTTTTAGTTACAGTTTCCCCCCCAACTCATTACCATTTTCATTTGGTTCATTTGACGAAAACTTGTTCTCAATTTCGGTTTCATTTCGTTAGTTTTAGCTAACCTCCAAATAAACCTGACAGATTGCATGCAGAACATTTGCAGCAAGCTAATAATTAAAGATTAACTTACTCCTTTGTGCGCTCTTTTTTAGTGTTGCGTCGTGAAACGAGAATATCTGAGTAACCTCAGAAGCCGGGACTGGAAAAACCAGTCTCTGCTCTCATTGATCTGCACACTGTGAGATCCAGTGCATCTAAGGACACGTACTTTGGACTGAACTCTGAAACACAATCTCCCCACACTCTTCAACTCCTCATCTTAAGCACACAATTGTCTTTGGAATGACCTTGTGGTCTGTTTTACTACACTCACCAATTTTACTACTTATTCTGGTGGTTGTTTCACAGGGAGAAAAAAAAGCACCACGTAAGGCCTCATCTGTATTAAGCCATTCATTCCTTCCCCCAGTAGCGCAGGCAGTAGTCGAACTCTGCTGAGTTTTTGCTTTTGCTTTTGTCAGATCAGCATTTTATTACTCTAATCCCCAAGAATCCCAGTAGATTCTCGTGCCCAGATGCCATGAAAGTAATGCATTGATTGTGATTAACTTTAACGCAGCGCTGCGTTGCATTTTATCATCCAGATGTGAAGCAGACAGCAAGTGCTACCAGTACATTAGTAGCTAGATTAAAGTGTCTTTTAAAAAAAAAAAAGCAACTAAGCTTTGGGATTTGGAGATTCTCCCTGTTTCTCGGTTTCAGTCGACAGTGGAAATTCACTGAGACTTGATTATAGTAGGAGAGTGTTGGCTCAGCTGTGTGCTTTAAGAACCCATGATGTCAGAGCCTTATTTTCCTTGGAGAGACTCTCATCAGCTGCATTGTTCCAGGAAACCATGGTCGGTTCTCTTGGCAAAACGAAAAAAATCTTGCCCAAAATGCGACCACCCCTCACTCCCTTTCCATCTTTGCACCCACATCAACGCCAGCCCCCCTGGCTCAGAGAGCACACATGTGAAGCATCCTGCACAGAGCATCAAATTTCCCTGGAACTGGAGCTTCTTACCCCCGTCCGCCGCAAAACGTGTTTGTCTTCTCTCCCGTTTTTTGCTTCCCATCCGAAGACGGGTGTCTTTGATGAAAGGCAGTGTGTTAATACAGGATGAGGAAATGACCTTTCTTGCACCCCTAGAGGGTCATAAAACAATGCTGCTACTGATGTCATGGAGCCCAGACTTCAAGTCGTAGGCGGTGTGATTGAAATACAGCACCGCCATCTGACAGGTGATGCAAGCATCTGACAGAGTTGATGAATAAAACACTCAGTAGCCTCTCCGAGTTCAAAACTCAAAACATAAGGCATGAGGCAGATATGGAGGAGATTAAATCCAGGCCAGCTGCAATTCAGCAACAGCTTTATCAGGAGCTGAGAACACCTTAAAGACATCAGCCAGAGATCCAGCAAGGATCCCTCAAATCACATCTGGCTCCCGTGAGATTATTCGCCTCTTGGATTTACTTTTAATGTTCTATGTTAGAGAATTATGGTAATGATTTCTTAGAAATCCAGACTGGAGAAAACAGTGTGATAGTTCCTTCAATTTCCTTTTTGAGGCTTTAAATCAGGTGGTGAAGGAGTGAAGTGCCGTCCATCCGCTGCGCGTTTAGGTTTAATAAAACGGATAGATCTGCTTGAAAAGAAGGCGGTTTTATTAAACAGAAAGTAAGAGCCCTAAAGGTTAAAACAGCAATGTGTGGAGCTCAAATGTTCAGTTGTGCTTCTGCTGGATCAGCCATCTTCTTCAGCAGAATTCCCAGCCCTCCAACAATAATACTTAGAAAATAAAGGCTGACCGCTCCAAGTAAAATCCCTTCAGCTGAGATCCATAGTTATTATTCATACTCTGGTTCTCCATCTCCTGCTCTACGGGATCCTCTGATGTTAATAAGGTAAGCCCTTTGAGCTGCGAAGAAACCCACAAAGAGCTGTGTCAACATTTATGCTTGCCTCCGCCTTTTTATCACCGGCTGACGGTCTGCATTTTCATGTTGTTGCTTGTCAATCAAAAGACGGGAACATCGCAGCATCCATTCCAATTTAAAAATCAGGACTTTCATGGTTGGAAAACGTATTTTCCTCTACATTGAATACATTTTATGAAGCTGTTTCAAAATTATTATTTCAGAAAAAAATGAGACAAGTTGTGCAAAGTGCAAACCAACCTGACCCTAAGTGGAAATGCAAAGCTGGCCCAAGTTAAGTGGGTGCTGAGGACCCCCACACCACCAGGGGGCCATCTAGAGCACTAAGAATGATAAATATGTAGCATTGAATATTACAAACTAAAAGTTATTACACATAGAAAACAAGAAAATAACATTTGATTGTTATTTTTATAGTTGTTACACAAATAGTATGCATCAATATGCACTTTTGGAAATGTTCTAAGTTTGAAAAGTCAAACATCTTTGACTTTTCAAACTCAAAAATGTCTCTTTTTTCTAGAATCAATTTTTAGATCAATCTAAAAAATCCGATTTTTATTTGTAGCAAATTTTAGTTCTTTTTTGTTTGTTTTTTGGCCAAAGCTTATTCTTCCTCACTCATTTTTTTAACCTATATTGGCACTAATACGCTGTTGTAGTTTTGATACTTTCAAGGTCACTGTAACAGAATCCGACGACGAAACCTTTTCAGGTTATCTTAACGACGATCATTTTGAGAAGATCAAACTGGAGGCTCAACACCGCTAAAGTGTACAATATATGTATTCTCAAATATTCTCAAAGAGCTCCAATCGAAACCCAAAACCTCCTGTCAAAGAGTCCTAGCTTGAGTAATTTAGCTAGATGCTAAAAGCTACTGACGGTTACTCCTATTCTAATAAGTTAACCTTTTTGCCACAATTGGATTGGTCGAATTCAGCAAGCCCCGTCTCTTTGAATTCCATAGAACCAATAGAACGACACTATAACTGCCCAAAATGATTGACAGCACCGTTAGCCAATCAGAATCGGAATTAGGAAATTAAACGGTTCTCTGAGAGGAATGATTTGAGAGCAAGAAGATAGTGTGGATTTTTTGGTGAAAATAACTTTTTCGAGGCAAAACAGCAGAGGTAAGACAAATTTTACAGAATAACAATCTCTGTAGTTGATATTTTTAGCTTATATATCTGACGCTTTGAGTGTTTTCGTATTTTCGTTTGGGGCGTGGCTTATGTATTTAATTGTGTAGTACGATATGTTGCATTTTGTATTTTAGTTGTTTGGAGTGTATAGAAAAAGGTATATATTGTGTTGTAGACTATTTATATGCGCAACACTTTTATGTTTTTTTGTGCTTTGCTGCTGCTTCGAAATACTTTTTTTTTTTTTAAAGTCCGGTGACCTTAGAAAAACAAACATGATAGAGGTCAATAACTTTATCTAATTTGTTCTTGAATTTCTTGGCTCTCCTTCATGGCGTCTATAGGTTGACTGAGTAATTTCTTGATAACGGTTGTATAAAATTAATTTACCATGATATGGGGAATGATGAGGCCATTGTAGTACAAAGAACTCATCCTCATATTTAACAGGAGATTTTTAAAGAAGTTGAGGTTTGTGACATGGAAGATAGATGCACTTTTGACATGATCATCAATATGATGGTTTGCTGTGAGGCTCAAACAATGCTCAGTTAGTGAGAGAACAAGAAAATATCGTTTTCCTCACAACATTACACCACCACAAGGCTGAACCTTTGTTCCAAAGCTAGATTGTTTCTTGCCTAGATGCTGTTTGTGCAAAATTCAGACCCTATAATCTGAATGTTGCAACTGAAACTCATCCAGGCAAGATTTTTTTTCTTTCTCCTTCTGTTCAGTTTTGGTGAACCCATTTGAACTGTAGCCTTAGTTTTCTTTTCTTAGCTGACTGTATTTTATCAAGCAACTCTAGCCTGTTTGGTTCACTGATTGAAATGGAGTTTGTTCATTTCAAACTCCATTTGAAATGAACAAACATATTTTCATCCACACAATGGCTGCTTATTGGATATTTTCTCTTTTTCATTGTCTGGTTGTGCATCAAAATCCCAGTAGATATACAGTCACTGAAACACCAATTATTTTCTCAAGTCGTCATGAGCATGCCCAGACACCTAAATACACCAAGTCCCTGCACTGTGGTTGGCTCACTTGGTCATTGTGTTAATAAGAAAATGAAAAATTATTCCCAGTGATTAATTTTGGTATACAGACCGCAAAAACACAAACATGTTGGTGTTATTTCTAGTGCAAATATGTTGGTTCACATAAAATTAGACAAAATATTTCAGCAAGATATAGGAGCTTGTTTTATGTCAATAATTCCTTAATATTGATGAAAAAGTACCAATTCCACTCACGAATTATTTCATTCAAGACATTTTCCCATGTTTTACATGAAAAAAATCTGCCAATAAACATATAGGACTTAAAAAAATCTATATTAAGGAACTATTCACTTAACTAGCTCATATATCTTGGTGAAAAGAGATAAAGTTATTAGCATAATGAATTAGATCAAAATACTTGTTAAGATCAAGTGTTTTTGCAGTGCAGTAAAATATAATTCGTAAAATGCCTCGAATAAACTGAGAACACGTCATTCTCTGCAGCAGTGTGTAAGGATTAGTACTATAAAGTAGAGTTGAGAGGGTTAGTATGTGTTTAAGACATCTGTTGATGGCTTTTCAGTCGGTTCTGAAAAGCCACAAAGCATGACCCCTATGACCGCTCAACAGGCATCTTTAACCATCCTGCTTCTGTCCTACCGCCTGTTGAGTTTATTTCAGTAAACTGAATACGTCTGCTTATTTTCTGCCCTCTGACCTTTTATGTGACCAGTCAACCCCAGTTTGATAAGGATAAAGAATTACAACCAGCATGTTTCTCATCCCATCTCTAATCTCCCCTTTTTTCTTTTTAATTAGATTGTAGATTATTTTGAGTCACCTTTTAAACTTTCCTGTCACCTCCAGCCTTCATAGATAGATACGTGACTGCATTTTGGTGAGATTTTCCACTATCCTTCACTATATAAAGCAGCTTAATGCCCGGTCACATCAGCTGTTTGGTGAGGGAATATCAGACAAGTTCTGAGTGTGAACGCTGATTTTGACGATGTCTGTCTACTCCCTCCTGTTCGCTTTAATGCTGTTCTCTGAGATGAACAGCAACTTGGTCACAGTGGCCATTCCTTCAACTACAGTAGAAGATGGCGCTGCAGAACAAGAAGGTTTGGACACATTTCTGTCTGATGACGACGTGACTGAACACGCTGCGGTTCCTCTGATGTACAGACGGAGCCTCACAAATGATGGGACATCCAAAATCATCGTCATACCGGTAAGTTTTCCAAGGGATAAAAATAGTTTTTAGCTTTGCATGGATTCTGTTTTAAGCAATTTTTTTCCAGACAGTACAAGTTAACATTAATGTTACGAAAGCTTAATTTAAAATACAATGATTAGAAATATAATTAACTAGTAATTTTTACCATTTTACTATGGCTGATTATTATTAAAATTCAGGTTTTCCCCCTGAAAACTGACTAAGCCCATTGCTTGGAGCACTAGAGCAGTCATCCAGCCGGCCACCATGTTTTTGAGTTAAAAAAAGGTGTTTAAAGTTGACAGGAAATTTTAAAATATTACTTGATAGTTATGCATTTTTGGAAGACTGGAAGATTAATACCTAAACACCAACAATAAATTCTTAAAAAAAAACAATAATAAAAAAAAAAAAAAACCTAAGATAAATTAACAATGCTAAGCCTGTGCTAAGCCAATGCTAACTTGTGCTGGCACAAGTAAAGCCTGGTGGCCCACCAGGCTTATAATACACTGAGGGAGAGCCTGAATTAACCAAACCACATATAGACACATTACACATTAGTGTTTACATCCGGAAATGTCACTCATGCGCTGCTGCGGTGGAACAATTTGGTCAACAAAATGAAACCTGGAGATGTAGGTATTATTAATTTAGTGCAGTGGAAAGAGAAAATAACAGAAAAACTGTCAATGAATATTTAAAAATCAGTCTTCTTATTTCAGGCTCTCTGGATCGGCTATGCTACACACAGGCCCGTTGCCATAGCAACTGACTGACAACAGCTCCACTACTGTGTCAGGACTAAAAACGCCAAAAAACATGGAAACATTTCCAACACAAACAACAGAACATTCAGTCTATTTATTGCTATTATTAATAAGTGATTGTTTGGACACAGCGGTGGTTGATTAGCTAATTTAAACACCTGCGGTACTGTTGATCTATCAGAGTACTCCTTTTACTTACTTTTTTTTTAATGGAACCAAAACACTAAATTCCACAGCACAAGTACATATTAATATTTTCAAAGTCAAGCTAGCATAACTAGCTTTTATTTTTATTTTATTAAAACCTACTAAGCTATGTTTTGTGATACCATTGGACCTTATCTATTTGTTGTAGTGTTGACAAAGAGTAGCAAAGCACTGCATCCCTTTTTCTTTTATATATACATTTAAGATTTGGCACATTATGTTGACAACTTGACAGCTAAAACCAATGGTAAAACCAATCGGCAAGCAGTTATTTGTGTCTATAAGCCAAATCTACAAACTTGCAAAAGTAATATTTTCCAAACAGCCATAAACATCCATTGTGAGACTTCTTCACAGTGCACATTATCTCCACTTGACCCTTCTCAGCTGGCCACCATCACCTACTGTTAAGTCAATATTTTACCCACACGCCTATAAAATAATTTTACAGCAGTGCTGGAAAACTGGGAAATGCCATTACCCGAAAAGGTCAGATGATCACAAGCCCATAAAGATTTACTGAAATCACACCAGGAAGAATGATGATATATTGGTGTTTCATGAAACTCTTTGGCTGCAATATGTTTTTCTGGCGATTACGTCTCTAGTGTGTCATGAACACAGTGGTTATCTCTGTGGTAATGGGGAACAGAGAGCCATAATTGAAACAACAAAGACATCTACATCTGAGTGAGCCAGAACTTTGGAAAAAAACAAGTTACTGTGATATCGTAAAAAACCATGAGGACACATTTGTTCCATTTTCTGAGAGTTGGATCAGCTGATAAAGGGAAATGCAACATCTGTTGAGTGGAAAAATAATCTTTTGAAGCTGTTGTTGCTTCTTGATTATTGAGATTATACATGTGGTGATTAATATATTTTAGGACATGAACCTGGAGGGGCAACGTATTCGTGGGCTGAACCGGCGCTATCCTCTGGTCGCAGAACGAAGTTTGGACCGCACACCTGATGAGTTCACTTTGAAAATAAATAAACGAGAAAAAGACCTTGACAGTAAGTATCTGGGAATGTCTTCTTCATTTTTTCATGATTATCAAATCATTGTTTTGACCAAATTCTATTTTTCCATCCTTACAGTGCTGCGATGTATGATTGGGAGAGTTTACCGGCCCTGTTGGGAAGCTTGAGTGTTTCTCAAATATACTACAAAAATTACACCATAAACATGTCCTTTAAAAAAAGTGACAAACATCAACAGAACAGTTTATTAAATGGAAGCTTGTATTGGAATTGTACATAGTAAAAGTTCAAACTTCATATGTAGTAATTAAATGTATTTCTGTTGACATGTATGCAGATAAGTTAGAAATAAAGTGCAATCATCAAATATGGACTCCAAGTTTGATTTTCCCTCCTCACATTGTTCGAGTTTTGAAATGAGAATTTAACTTGGGGGGGGGGGGGGGAACAATATTGCTTTTAAAGGTAATTGCATAAAAATGCACCTATTTGTTAATTGGATCAATAACTATTTTCAAATCCAAAAGCAAAAACCTTTTTATGCTTTTGGATCTGGAAATATGTCAAAGTACATAAACTTGATCAAGAACTTAGGAAATAAAACAAAGTGTTAAGGTTGTTGAGCTAAAAACTGCTAGCTAAAAAGTGTTATAGTTTTTGATTCTTGACAACTTAATTGAAAGGCGTACATGGCTAACATTTGGCACCTTTGCTACTGGGAAAACATCCAAATCTGTAGCCAGAGGCTAGAAACCTGTTTGTTTTTTTTTAGCGTCTTTAGCAAAATGGGTTAATGTTAATCCTTCCTCATCAATAAGCTACAGTCAGACATTTCAAGTTATGATCCAAAAGGAAAAAATATAAAACATCTGGCGTGTATAAAATTTAATTAGTAGTAAGAACTTTTGCAATTTATTGCTAGTTATAGCTATTTTAGGTACTTTATTGCTTGGCCCGTCTTTGATTTAGCCAGACATTAAGACATTTGTCAAAATGTGTTGAACATAAAATTTTTGCTAGTGGCCAATTTCTATTTGTAGTTAGCCGTTCCTCTCGGTTTGCTCAGATTACAGTCAGACAGACTCATCATTTTACTGTTTCCTACTCAGCCTGTTTACCACTCAATTTGTAGAAATGCATATTTGAGGAAAAACTCATTAGTCAGTTCTAGTTATTGTTTTCCCTTTGTTTAATGTAGGCAAGCTAATTAGCGGCTAAGCTATGATGCATATCAATGTCCAAGAACCACAAAAAAAAAAGTTCCAGTTCACAAAATTTTTTTAAAGGGACAAAATTTTTAACAAAAAAGTAGACAGAATATAAGTCAGGGAGCCTGTGTAGGGACAACTATGTTTCATAATTTGTGTTTAGGTGAAATTAACCTTTTAGCTGACTCAAATTAAGCAAATTTACAATCACATTTTATCATAAAATCAGTGAAAGAAGCCTAAACTCTAAAGAAGCTGGTAAGCTTTCCCTGTCCAGCTATGAGTTTCTTTTTATTTGAAGCCTTGCAGACGTTTTTGCCGGGCACTTTGACTGACACACGGGTGTGCTGTTTCTTCTCCGGAGGTTCATTCTCTGATTCGGTGTGCGGCTCAGAATCCAGCTGCTTCCTCTTATTACCCTTGCTCTGCATCTGAATGCCAGTTTTCCTTTTATTACTTGGACATCCACCTCCGTTTTGAGCATTTCCACTCCTCTGCTCAGGAGCAACCCCCCGCTGTACCTCATGGCGCTCTTTTCTCTGGGATTCACTGGAAGGCTTGGCTGCAAAAACTGAAACAACCCAAAAACACGTTTTAATGTTGGAAGCAACTTAAGGTAAACTCACAAAGTGTACTGGAAGTCCAAGCATTGTGTATATATATGCCATGAAGCAGAAGTTCAGCATTTTTCATGTAAACTTTGTGGAGCTGAGTCTGAATATTCACAGATCAACATTGGAAAAAAGTCTGTGGAGTAATTTTGTTTCTTGCTGTAGATATGGGGGTTTGTATGACAACATATAAAATAATTTTTTGCCAAAATAATTTTTTTGTCCTGAAATTTTTAGATTA